TGTAGATGCACCCAAAGTCAGCTAATTTGTCCCCCAACTTGATTACATGTCTTTATGCTTTATTTAAAAATGCTCCTCATGCAGCATGGCTTTCTTTAGATATAAAATAATTCATAAGCACACATGTGTATAATAGAATTGTGTGCCCATCCTTCCTAGAAACTGTCACAGCATTGTGAATTCATAATCCAGGAACATGTTTACACTATACCAATGAGAAATCAGAAGTTATTGTTTGTAAATGTGCATTCATATAATTGGAATCCGTCTGCTATGTGAATTAAATAGGTTTTTAAAGAGTAATTCTAAAGGTATAGCACATTTAAATGCAAATGCTAGTGTAAAGAAAATATACAAAATTATTGAGTGGGAAGTTTTTTCTTTATTGGTAAAAGTTGTACTACCCATCTTTCAATTACACAACTTTTCTACAAATATTATTTTTCTATAATATTCACCATATCAAAAAAGATCTCATCAACCTGTTTGATCATTATTAAAATGTGATTAGATTCAATCTATCTCTTCTTATTACAATTCTATTGTGTTTTTCATGCCACACAAAATTTAATAAATCTTTGCAGGACTTAATAAAGCAGCAGAGATTTATATAGGGAATAAAAGATTCATTTTGTCTTGATAGCCTTCACTGAATTTGTTTTCAATGGATTCCTCACCTTGTAGATACCATATTTATTGTGTTCTTGTCATTGGCTCCCTAGGCACGTAAATTTGAAATCTTCTTGGAAGGAGTTCTGTATAGATGTTGAATGCATCAGGTTTATGCAGTAAACCTGTCTGATCTGGTTAGACATCTGAACTCAGAGGGATTGAGAAGTTGTGGGTTCAAACTAGAGCTGTCACCCTGTGCAAGATTGCTAGAAAGCTCCTGTTACCTGCTGTTTTCTTCAAATCAATATTTGTTATCTCAAGCAGTAACCAGCAAGGCCAATTTTAAACAAGAAACAGATTCTGCATTTAGAAAGTGAATATATAATCTGAGACCATTCAGACCCAGTTAGTCAACCCTCAAGTCTTCAGGAAGCACAAGATTGAAGATCTCCCAGGTTAGCCATAGCTTATTGCAGCCCATTGGTTTTATAGTGCTAGCCATCAGCATTGTATGGGAGTACCTCACAGCCTGAAGGAAACCTTTTAATGCCTGCTGACCTGCAGTGACAATGAGCTTGCTTAAGAGTAACTCAAATAGTTGGAAAAATTCTTCTTTGAAAGCTTTCAGTTACAAATATCCTTCATCAGGCTGAGGAAGTATCTCTTCGGCATTGATGATGCTTCCTTAGCCTGACAAAGGATATTTGTGCCCAAAAACTTGCAAAAAAGAATTTTTCCAACTATTTGAGGTGGTTGTGACCGCCGGGTCTCAAACGCCCAGTCACATGCAGCCTTGGTTCGAGCAATTTGGAAGAAGGTGCCCAAATCCAGAGCTGCTAGGCCTAGAGCATTGGAAGCTCCCCAAGTTCAGCTGGGGAACAGGTTTGATGCCCTGGCAGCTGTGACGGAGGAGGACAGTGGAATTGCCTCTGGCAGGGACGATGCCACTCCCCACAAGACAGGGAATGGGCAGAGAGTGAACACCAGGAGGAAGAAACGCCGGGTCCTCGTCATCGGAGACTCCATTGTACGAGGACTGGAAGGTCCCATCTACCGGCCCAACCCCATGACCTGACAGGTCTGCTTCATGCCTGGGGCTTGGGTCAGGGACATCACTGAAAGGATCCCGGCCTACATCCGACCTGCAGACCAGTACCC